CATCAGACATCAAAATATTTCACCAAAAATCACGAATATTCATAATAAACCAATTAAATAAATATTCTAATTATTTTGGGGTGTTACACGACATGTGTGTGAAAACACTGATTCTTCTTTTGTTTTCCATTTGTAGGTTGGGAATGAAACAAGTGGGGGAGAAACATCTGATTCTCTTGGATATTCCAACTGTTGAGAGCTTGGATATCGTGTTGCTGCATGCGAGAGTGCAGTGTTGGATAGTTCAAATGTTTTGAGAATGGTGTGATCTTTGAGGGAAGACGGTCAGGTGTTCTCGTTGGTCGCTTCCTGGTGATGGGTAAAATGGTGTTTTGGCTAGAGTTGGGCCATTGATGTTAGGGTATCTTGACGTGTTTCCTAAGGATGGGCAGAGTTTGTCTTTAGTTGGAACCGGTTGATGTTATTCTTGGAGCGTATTGGTGGGGATTAAGCCATGTGTTTACCAGTCATTTGGATGAGTGGTGTAGTGTGCTGCTGATTACAGAAGCTCAGGTGCTTGCATTGTTTGCTTCCATGTCAGTGGAGATTCGATTAGTGATTGATGAGTTACAGGTGGTGCACGTATTCCCAGAGGTGTTTCTAGATGATATTTTAGGTGTGCTGTCAGAGAGAAAGGTGGAGTTTGCTATTGACCTTGTCCTTGGTACCAGACCTGTTTCTATGGCACCATGCAAGATGTCGACATCGGAGTTAGTAGAGTTGAAGAAGCAATTAGAAGAGTTGCTGGAAAAGAAATTTGTGAGACCAAGTGTGTCGCCTTGGGGAGCTCCGATGTTGTTGGTGAAGAAAAAAGATGGTAGTATGAGATTGTGTATGGATTACAGAATGTTGAATAAAGTGACGATTAAGAACAAGTATCCACTTTCAAAAATAGATGACTTGATGGATCAGTTGGTGGGTGCTCGTGTATTTATTAAGATTGATTTGAAGTCGGGTTATCATCAGATTAGAGTGAATGATGAGGATATTCAAAAGATGGTTTTCAGGACTTGGTATGGACATTATGAGTATTTGGTGATGTCGTTCGGAGTTTCTAAAGAACCTGGTGTGTTCATGGAGTATATGAATCATATTTTTCATACTTACTTGGATCAATTTGTGGTGGTATTCATTGATGACTTTCTGATCTATTATAAGTCAAAAGAGGAACATGCTGAACATTTGCGGATTGTGTTGCAAGTGTTGAAAGAGAGGAAGCTTTATGATAAATTTTCAAAGTGTGAATTCTGGTTGAAAGAGGTGAGTTTTCTTGGTCATGTTATTTCAAGCGATAATATTGTTTTGGATCCATCCAAAGTAGATGTAGTTCTACAATGGGAGGCTCCAAAGTCGGTGACTGAGATTAGAAGCTTTTTGGGCTTAGCTGGTTATTACCATGGGTTTATTGAAGGCTTTTCTAAGTTGGCACTTCCGTTGACTTGAAAAGGTAAAACTTTTGTGTGGGATATTCATTGTGAGAAGAGTTTCATTGAGCTGAAGAAGAGATTGACTAAAGATTCAGTTTTGATTCTACTTGAACCGGATGAACTGTTTGTGGTGTATTGTGATGCGTTGTTGATAGGCTTAGGTGGTGTGCTGATTCAAGATGGTAAAGTTGTGGCTTACGCTTCGCGAAAATTGAGAGTTCATGTGAGAAAATATCCTACTCATGATTTGGAGTTGGCTGTAGTAGTGTTTGTGTTAAGATTTTGAGGCATTATCTTTATGGTTCCAAATTTGAAGTGTGTAGTGATCACAAGGGTTTAAGGTACCTGTTCGATCAGAAAGAATTGAATATGAGGCAGATAAGATGGTTAGAGTTTTTGAAGAATTATGAATTTGGTTTGAATTATCATTCCGGTAAAGCTAATGTCGTGGTTGATGCGTTAAGTCGAAAGTCCCTGCATATGTCTGCTATGATGGTTAGAGAGTTGGAATTGATTAAGCAGTTCAGAGACTTGAGATTGGTCTGTGAGCTGACACTATAGAGTGTAATATTGGGTATGCTGAAGATCAATAATTAGTTTCTTAATAATATTAATGAGAGCCAAAAGTTGGACGTGAAGTTAGTGAGCTTGATGGTTGGAAGTAATCAGACTGACGATAATGACTTCAAAATGGATGAGCAAGGTGTGTTGAGATTCAGTGATAGAATATGTATTCCTGATGATCCTGAATTAAAAAACATGATTCTAGAAGAAAGTTATAGAAGTAGCTTACGTATTCATCCAGGAGCTACAAAGATGTATCAAGATATGAAGAAAATATTTTGGTGACCTGGATTGAAGCGTGATGTGACTCAGTTTGTATATGCTTGTTTGACTTGTCAGAAGTCGAAGGTGGAACGTCAAAAACCTGTTGGTTTGATGCAACCATTGGATATTCCATAGTGGAAATGGGATAACATTTCTATGGATTTTGTGACTGAGTTGCCAAATACTCTAAGAGGGCATGATGCCATTTGGGTAATCGTTGATAGAATGATGAAGTCAGTGCACTTTATTCCGATTGACATTCGTTTTCTTTGCAGAAGTTGGCAGAGATTTATATCTGTATGATTGTGAAGCTGCATGGAGTTTTGTTGAGTATTGTGCCAGATAGAGATCTGAGGTTTACTTCTAGATTTTGGGAGAGTTTGCAAGAGGCTTTGGGTTCGAAACTGAGGTTGAGTTCAACTTATCATCCATAGACGGATGGTCAGACAGTGAGGACTATTTAATCTTTGGAAGATTTGTTAAGGGCTCATGTGCTTGAACAAGGAGGTGCTTGAGATAGTCATTTGCCATTGATTGAGTTTGGTTATAATAACAATTATCATTTTAGTATATAGATGACACCTTTTGAAGCCTTGTATGGTTGGAGGTGTATGGCACCTCTGTGTTGGCATGAATCTAGTAAGGGTGTGGTATTTGGACCTGAGATTGTTCAACAGACTACTGAGAAGGTGAAGGTGATTAGGGAGAAGATGAAAGCTTCGTAGAGTAGACAGAAGAGTTATCATGATAAGAGAAGGAATGATCTTGAGTTTCAAGAGGGGGACCATGTTTTCTTGAGAGCCACTCCGGTGACCGGTGTCAGACGTGCTTTGAAGTCGAGGAAGCTTACTTCTCGGTTTATTGGTCAGGACCAGATATCAGCGAGAGTTGGAGTTGTTGCTTATAGAGTGGCGTTGCCACCATATTTTATGTTGGGGTACCCTGTAGATAGGGTAGAGGCCTTAAGAATAGACTCTAAGGTGTTGTATGGGTGTATGGGCATTTGTGTAGAGATGAGTGGTGTGAAAAATAAAACTGATTAGTAATTGTAGTTAGAATTATTTAATTAAAAAGTGAATATTATTTGGATTAAATAATAGTAATAATAATAATAATAATAATAATAATAATAATAATAATAATAATAATAATAATAATAATAATAATAATAATAATAATTATTATTATTATTATTATTATTATTATTATTATTATTATTATTATTATTATTATTATTATTATTATTATTATTTAATTAGTTGGAGCTAAACTTAGTTATGAAAACTTGAGTGTTAAGAGTGTGTTTTCCTAACATGTTTCTATTAAAGTTTGTCTTTAGATTAACTTGGTTATGAAAATTTGAGTGTTAAGAGTGTGTTATTCTAAATGGTCTAGGCAAGTAAAAAGTGAGATTAGTCGCCCATTCTACTCTTATGACCCTAAGAGCGTGTGAAAGGTACACAATGCATGTGATTCTTTCCAACAGAAGATAGATCCAAGAAATCAATATGAATGAACATGGCAATTCAGCTGAAATCACGGTTCTTGTTTGAAGCATAGTTTGGCTTGTCTAGTTCACTTACTTCATGAAATTTACCTAAAGTAATTACCTCTATATCATATCAATTTGACCATAACTCTCAATATTAGACCAACAATCTTACCTATATCATTCAAGAAATCCTCGGTTTCATCACACTAATAAAAGTTACATCATGAGGAGAAACAAATGATGAAGCTATAAAGTAACATTCCAATATTAAAGGCCAAGGCACTATACTATTAATAGAAAGAAAACATGTAACATGATGGAACTTCCACTTATGCAATTCATCATAACCATTCCACTAAAGCATAACAACACTTAAACCCATAACATTAATTTATCTATTTTTATGTTTTTTATGAATTAATGTCTCTCTTTTTGCACCCTCAAAAATGAAAATACTTATTCATTATTTAGCATAATTGAGTGAGGCATGTGTTCAACTATTCATGCTTTGGCCTTATAGTAGCCCACAACTTAACTTTTATTTTATCTTTAGTGCAAATTCAAGCAATATATTATAATCATTTTAACCCAAAAATAGATGTAGGAAACAATGAATATTACATAATTGTACCTTCCTATTTAAGATAACTTTTTGTCACACAAAAATGATAGCACAAATATATACACATCTCCTTTACACTTCATTTTCCACTCCCTTTTACTTCTTTCTCATTTTTTCAATCACATCATATATTATTTTTCTTTCTCTTAAATATAGGTATTAAGTTTTACAAAATTAATCATTGTGATATAATCATATAAAACAAATAGGTCTTATTTTGATAAATAACTCATTTTTAGCTTATAGTACTAGTGTTTATCATGATGGCATTCACTTGTAAATTGTTTTAATAGTTAAGCATACAATTAAATTAATTTTTTTGAATAATTTATAGATTATTTTAAAATTTTATAAAATAAATTATAAAAAAAAAAAAAAAGTAGGTCTAGAATCTCAAAACCAAATGGAGAATAGCATGTTATCATGCACCCACTTCAATTTGTCACCCCACTATATTAGTAACTCTTGAGTACCCCATACCTTGATCAATAATACACCTTTTCAACCATATCCCAATAAATAAATAAAAATCTTCCAACCCCAAAAAACAAATAAAAATTCCCATAAGGTAACTTTTTTCACTTATATATACCACCACTCACTCCCATCACAAGGCACCATTATCACAACCATGAAAATCCCATTTTCTCTAACCCCTCTCTTTCTCTGTCTCTTCATCTCCCAAGTCCATGGACAAACACAAAACCCAAAATGTGACATCCAAGATCATGGCTCAACCCTCAAAGTATTCCATATCTTCAGCCAATGTTCTCCATTCAAACCCTCAAAACCAATGTCATGGGAAGAGAGTGTGTTACAGCTCCAAGCTAAGGACCAAACAAGGATGCAATACTTGTCTAGCTTAGTTGCCGGGAGATCGGTTGTTCCAATTGCATCTGCGAGACAGATCATTCAAAGTCCGACATATATTGTGAAAGCTAAGATTGGTACTCCACCTCAAACTTTGCTCTTGGCTTTGGATACTAGTAATGATGCTGCTTGGATTCCTTGTACTGCTTGTGTTGGTTGCTCAACCTCAAAACCTTTTGCTCCTGCTAAGTCTACCACGTTTAAGAATGTTGGATGTGGTTCTACTCAATGCAAACAGGTTATTATAACATTTTCTCTACATTTCTTTAAATTTTAGTTAGAGATAGCAAAATAGATCACGAGATTTTCATAAAATAAACAAAAGAAATTTACTATTTTTCTATTTTTGGATAAAAGATAAACGGTTCTCAAATCTCAAGCATGTGAATCTTTTAATTTCAGGTACCCAACCCCACTTGCGGTGGAAGCGCGTGTGCATTCAACTTCACCTATGGTAGTTCCACCATAGCAGCTAGTGTGGTCCAAGACACACTTACCCTAGCTACTGACCCAATTCCAAGCTATACTTTTGGATGTGTTCAAAAAACAACCGGGAGTTCAGCACCACCACAGGGTTTATTGGGCTTGGGCCGAGGCCCATTGTCTCTCTTGGCCCAATCACAAAATCTCTACCGATCCACATTCTCTTATTGTTTGCCTAGCTTTAAATCGCCTAACTTCAGCGGGTCTTTGAGACTTGGGCCTACGGCCCAGCCCAAGAGGATTAGGTTCACACCACTCCTCAGAAACCCTAGAAGATCATCACTCTATTATGTTAACTTGGTTGCTATTAAAGTCGGTCGGAGAATCGTCGACATCCCTCCAGAGGCATTGGCATTCAACCCTACCACCGGTGCTGGCACCATATTTGACTCGGGTAATGTCTCATTTAACACATTCTATTTTTGTTTCAGGCGTATCTTCTGATTTAAAAAATATATTTTTATAATAATTAATATATCTGATTTATATAATATATATTAAAGCAAGTATATAATACATTCTAATTTGATGTTTTTTTTAATACTATGATAGGTACGGTATTCACTCGACTAGTTGAACCGGTTTACACCGCCGTAAGAAATGAGTTCCGTCGACGAGTTGGCCGAAAGCTCACCGTGACAACCCTAGGAGGGTTTGACACATGCTACAATGTACCAATAGTTGCACCAAATATAACATTCATGTTTTCCGGTTTGAATGTGACACTACCACCGGACAACACCCTGATACACAGCACCGTCGGTAGCACCACATGTTTGGCCATGGCAGCGGCGCCGGATAATGTGAACTCGGTGTTGAATGTGATAGCCAACATGCAACAGCAGAACCACCGTGTGCTGTTTGACGTGCCCAACTCAAGACTTGGTGTTGCTCGTGAACTTTGCACCTAATAAGCTATTGGTCAAGATCATTTTTTGTATTGTGAGTTAATTATTTGGGTAATTTTATAGTATTTTATGTTTATCTTTGTGTGAAATGGGTTTTGGCATTGCTGAGAATTTATTGCTAACTATATGGTAAAATACTGAGCTAGCTTGTGTAAGGAATTATTATATGTATGTTTGAATTTGTTTTTATTTTTATTTTTATTTTGTAGCGTTGTAATGGTCTGTACTCTGTACCACGGGCATATATCCCTTAATTAAGTTGTTTTATGAAAGATGATTATTGAATTCGATAGAATTTAATTTATTTTCTTACATGATTATTAGACTTTACGATGACGTACAAGTTCACGCGGTAAATCAAAATTAGTTAGACACATACGGTTGACAAGGAAGTATATTTTTATCAATAAATCAATTCGATGAAGAATATAAAATTCGAGTTAAATCTTTTGTATTCTTAATTAGCATATTTACCTTTTAAATTATAGAAATTGATTAATTACACATTAGTGATGACTATTGAGTAATCTAAATCTAAAGAAATACAACTACTACTAAAAGTAAAAAACTAAAAATTATTGTAATACGTACTTGTATTATTGAAATGGGTAACATAATTTTTATATATTGTCTCAATGATTTTTGTTCTGAGTCATTGTAGCCGTTATGTTATGTAAAGATTATGCCCTAAGAATTTAAAAACACAATTTAAACTTTAAATTTTATTTATTTTTATCTCGTATATATTGACTTGAGTGTTCGAGTGCTAATCTTTCAGGTTAGTCTCTCTTCCACCATATCTGAAGTTCAGATTCACCATTTTTCATCGTAACTATCGATTTGTTGGAAATTCATCTCACACCCTATGAAGAATTCCCTTCAATCTTGATCTCAAGATTGATGAACAAACCCACAATATGATAATGATGGTAATAACAAGTAGTTATCAAGAACAACAAAAGAGAAGAAGAATAACAAACAAGAAAGAGAAGAATGAGAGAAGAAGTATTTGGAGAGAATGTGTTACCCACAACTGAGGGATTTCTTATTGAACTTTCACTTGCTAACTGCAACTGTGAAATTTATTCTGTTGTGATGTATAATACAAAGCAAGGCACCCTATTTATAGTTTTAGGTTTACACTAGCCCAAAACATAAAAGGCCTAAAATATTCTAAATCAAATCTAATCATATCATATCAAATTAATCATATGATATCAAATCTAATCATATCAAATCACAATGAATTATATTTAACACACCACCTAATTCATTGTGTCTAAACTGTCTACATTCATCATGACCCTTAGTCTTCTGAAGGCTTCGACCTGCACTCCCTTCGTCATGATATCTGCAATCTGATTCTCAGTTCTGCAGTGTTCCAACTTCATCTTCCTTTCTGCTACCCGCTCTCGGAGATAATGGAACCTCATTTTGATGTGCTTGCTTCGACCATGAGCTATTGGATTCTTTGCCAAGTTGATAGCTGACATGCTGTCTATCTTCATGGTAATTGCTCCATGGTTCTTCCTTGTGATTTCTTCGACCAAGTTCACCATCCAAGTTGCTTGACATGCACAAAGGGAAGCAACTATATATTCTGCTTCGCATGATGATAATGCCACCACTGGTTCCTTTCTCGAATTTTAAGCAACTGGTGCACCACCTAACATAAACACATATCCAGTTGTGGATTTTCGATCCTCAGCATCACTACACCAACTGGAGTCTGTGTATCCCACTAACTTGCATTCTTTTCCTTCATCAGTTGCTGGAAACAAAATGCCATAGTCGAGAGTTCCTTTCAGATACCTCAGTATCCTCTTCGCCGCTGCTAGGTGTGATACCTTTGGTTTCTGCATGAATCTACTTATCATACCAACACTGTATGCTAAGTCAGGCCTTGTGTGGCAAAGGTATCTAAGTGACCCAATAAGTTTTCTGTATTGGGTTGGATCGACATCATCTTTATCTGAATCCTTCGACAGTTGCAATCTGGGCTCAGCTGGAGTCGAAGTTTGGTTGCAATCTTGCATCTCAAATCTCTTGAGTATCTCGCCTGCATATTTTCTTTGGTGCATCATCAAACCTCTACTTGTCTTGTAGAATTCGATGCCAAGGAAATATGAGAGATTTCCCAAGTCTGACATTTCAAACTCCTTACTCAGGTCATGTTTGAAATCTCCGATCTCCTTCTTGGAACTCCTTGTTATCAACAAATCATCAACATAGAGACATAGTATAAGCAATTCGCCATTGCTTCTTCTTACATATACTCCATGCTCAGTTGTACACTTCACAAATTCCTTCTCCCTTAAGAAGCTGTCAATTTTCTTATTCCAAGCTCTTGGAGCTTGCTTAAGTCCATACAGGGCTTTATGAAGCCTGTACACCTTTCTTTCTTCGCCTTGTTTCACAAACCCAGCTGGTTGTGCAACATAAACTTCTTCTTCTAAGGGGCCATTAAGGAATGCACACTTCACGTCCATCTGACATGTGTGCCAGTTGTTCATATTTGCTAGACCAACAACCAACCTGATTGTTTCGATTCTAGCAACAGGTGCGAATACTTCATCGAAGTCGATTCCTTCCTTCTGAAGAAATCCTTTCGCCACAAGTCTCGCTTTGTGTCGATTTACTTTTCCTTTAGGATTTACCTTCACCTTGTAAACCTACCTTACATCAATTGCCTTCTTGCCTTGCGGCAATTCGACAAGTGACCAGGTATCATTGACTTTGATGGACTCTAACTCTTCAATCATTGCTTTCACCCACTTCGAATCTTTCAATGCCTCAGCTGCATTGACTAGTTCGACATCTGCGTAGAAAGCATAACGTACCAGCTCACCCTCTTCATCGACTACATCATCTGATGTGATTACAAATTCTTGCAACCTTGCAGGCATGTGTCTAGTTCGTCGAGGTCTGCTTGAACCTGCTTCATCTGCAACTGGTTCCTGTCGAACTTCTATTTCGACTTCAGTGGCTGCAGTTGCTAAACACTTGTGCTCCATCACATTGAGTCCAATCTTGAAGGTTCTATTCTGAGACATTGGAGCCTTCAAGATTAGTCTACCACCTGCGTCGAGGACTCTCATCATCTTGTCTTCGACAACTACCTTGTAGTTCTTTTCGACAAGCTGCCTTATACTGAGAAAATTACTCTTCATGCCTGGTATGTACAACACATTGGAAATTGTTGACCTTTTGCCATTTTTCCTCATAATCAGAACATCACCAACACCTTCAGCTGCTAGAGTGTTGTCATTTGCAAACTTCACCGTATTCTTCGACGAGGGCTTTATGCTGACAAACCAATCTTTCCTTCCAGTCATGTGTGATGAGCATCCTGAGTCCAAGTACCACTGATCTTGGAATCTTTATTCATCGTTTGTTGTGACCATTAGCAACGTTTCTTCTTCTTCATGTTTCGCCAGCTTTGCATCAGTCTCTTGATTTCTCTTCTTTTCTGGACAATCACTAACATAATGACCATACTTCTGGCAATTGAAACATTGAATGTGGCTTTTGTCTGTCTTTCAATCACCACCTCTTCCTTTACCTGCAACACCACCTCTTTGGTTTCCTTGGTTCCAAGGTTTCTTTTGATTCGACTGGTTTCCTCTTTTGTTGCCATTCCAGCTACCTTTGCCTTTTCTCTCCTTTTCCGTCTGTGCCTGCAAAGCCATATCTTTCGACTTTCCTGCAACTCTCTCAACCATCCTCTGTTCATGAGACTCAAGAGTCCCTTGAAGCTCTTCCTTCGTCAACACTGACAGATCTTTCGACTCTTCTATGGCAACTACCACGTGGTCGAATTTTGGAGCCAACGATCTCAAAATCTTTGAGACAACTGCTTTCGTCGTCAGCGTTTCTCCACATACTTTGATTTGATTCACCAACCTTGTAACTCTGGTGAAGAAATCTGTAATGCTTTCGTTGTCTTCCATCTGAAGCAACTCATAGGTTCTTTTGTGAGTTTGTAACCTCACCTATTTCACCTTCTCTGCGCCTCCAAACGACTTTTCAAGAATCTCCCATGCTTCTTTTACTGAATCAACATCACTAACCTTTTCAAAGTTATCAGGATCAACATACTGATGAATTATAAAGAGTGCTTTATAATCCTTCTTCTTCAATTCTTTGTGCGCAGCCTTTTCCGCCTCCGTTGCGTTCTTCACCAACGATGTTACTCCGTCCTTCACAAGATCCCAAAGATCTTGATAACAGAAGATCACCTTAACCTGCTTGCACCAATTCTCATAATTGTCTTTCTTGAGAATTGGCAGGGTCGCTGGAAAGTTGCCGTTTGGATAGTTCATCGCCATTACTATCTTCCTTCCTTGAATCTCTTAACCGGAGCTCTAGATACCAGATGTTGGAAATTCACCTCACACCCTATGAAGAATTCTCTTCAATCTTGATCTCAAGATTGATGAACAAACCCACAATATGATAATGATGGTAATAACAAGTAATTATCAAGAACAACAAAAGAGAAGAAGAATAACAAACAAGAAAGAGAAGAATGAGAGAAGAAGTATTTGGAGAGAATGTGTTACCCACAACTGTGAGATTTCTTATTGAACTTTCACTTGCTAACTGCAACTGTGAAATCTGTTCTGTTGTGATGTAGAATACAAAGCAAGGCACCCTATTTATAGTTTTAGGTTTACACTAGCCCAAAATATAAAAGGCCCAAAATATTCTAAATCAAATTTAATCATATGATATCAAATCTAATCATACGATATCAAATCTAATCATATGATATCTAATCATATCATATCAAATTAATCATATGATATCAAATCTAATCATATGATATCAAATCTAATCATATCAAATCACAATGAATTATATTTAACACGATCCACCAACCAATTTCGGTTCTGCAATAGAATATTGACACCGGATGTGGGAATCGACTTTTGATTCCTGCATTTTCCAAAATGACACATTCTCTCTTCAATCCATCGGTTCAAACCCTTATCATTTTATCA